GTGACTGTCTGTCCGTTCATCCGTCTGTCCGAGTAAGCAATAATTTGAGTAAAAATTGAGATATTGATGAAACTTGGTACATATATTCCTTAGCACTCACGGAGGGTTGGTATTGTAGATGGACGTAATCGGACCACTGTCACGCCCGCAAATCGCCATTAAACGAAAACCTATAAAGTGTCATAACCAAGCACATAATTAAGATTGAAAACTGTAATTTGCTACAGGGGATCACAGTAGTGAGAAGCACTTGTGGGCTTAACACTTTTTTTGTCATTGCAGCAACAATAACGCAGTGCTTTTCTTTGTTATATTCACTATATGGTAGATTATTAGCCTTTTATGGCATCTTTTTCCTACAGGTTGTGAACTGAGTCACTGACCAGCGACTCAAGCTGTATGCAACTGTCTGTCGCAAAATAAACCTCTTTGAAGTTAGATAAATATAAGCGCAAATGTAAGCATAAACACATATGTATGTATGTGTATATACTTGTATGTTGAAATTATATATGAACATTTATGAGAGTAAAAGTTGTCTGAAAAACAGATACGAAATGTTTTCTGCGCAAACATTATTTAATGTCCTCGCACTAATGACCAGTATTGTTTACGAAAATTAAAAAAATAATTACTAATATAGCTTTAAGAAAATAAATATGTGCACAATAATTTAATGCCTCGCTTGGCAAAACACAAAGTCACATTAACGCTTTCCTCTTCGCATAGTCGAATTGCGTATTTAAAAACACTTTTCGCCATTTACAGATTTCTGTCGATTTTTAACACTTTCATCTGAAAATTGTTAAGGCAAGCCTCAAATTAGCCAAATAATAGCCAGCTTTACATGTCAATACGCTGTTGCCAACAATCGCAGAGCAAAGGAATACGCGAAACAAAGATTTTCTTTCTGTGAACAGCCGTTACCTCTCTTCATTTACTACATTATCGCATTATCTATCAAGCATTTAATCGCTTCATACCATTTCGCAGAAGTGCTTTCAAAGCGCCCGAGATGCATAATTAGTCGATTATTCAGTTTTTGCTTTCAATTGTTTTGGCCCAAACGAACCAAAAACATTTGTAAAAAAAATGCAAAATTTTCGTTAATTCTGCTAATGCTTTTGTGTTCATTTCCTTTACAAAGTAATCACAAAACATTTTATTTGTCGAAACTCAATCTTACCATTTTTATTCTTTTCTGCAAATGATGAGACAGCTTTTTCTTTTGCAGTGTTCCTAAAATTTTTTGACAGTTTTTTGTTTTTTTATTTATTTATTCGTGTTAGATAAAAGTATACAGTGTATAAAAACTGCAAAAAAACTTAAAAACTTTCCAAAAAAAAAACAATTGTAAATTATTTCGCTGAACAAACTCTTTGCTCAGGAAGAGCATAAAAACAAAATCATACAGTAACTTAACCCTTTTTAAAGTAACTGAATGTTCTTTTTTATTGTAAAAACAACATTAAAAGAAACAATTAATTATGAGGAGCAAAAATAATATATATCATATTTTGATTAGGCATTATCCGGCAGCGCTATGCATTTTACTAATTCCCATAGTGGTAGTTGTGTGGAAGATGGCGGGTTGAACTTACCTCAACACTGTCACTGTAACAAGAAAAAACGTAAACTTCGGTTGCACCGAAGCTATAGTACCCTTCACAAATACAAAGGTTCCTTACAAGAACTCGATTCCGATCGTTCAATTTGTATGACAGCTATATGATATAATGATCTGATCTGAACAATTTCTTCAAAGATTACATTATTATCAAAGACAATAGCTCATGCCTAATTTCGTGAAGATAACTCGTCAAATCAAAGACTTTTCCATATAAGCACTTGATTCCGATTGTTTAGTTTGTATGGCAGCTATATGCTGCAGTGGTCCGATATCGGCCGTTCCGATAAATGAGCAGCTTCTTAGTGAGAAAAGGACAGGTGCAAAATTTCAGGTAGATAGCTTAAAAACTGAGTGACTAATTCGTATATTATATATACAGACAGGCGGACATGTCCAAATCAACTCAGCTCATCATTCTAACCATATTTGTATATATTATTCTTTAAGGTCTCCGACGTTTTCTTCTGGATGTTACAAACTTCGTGACAAACTTAATATACCCTGTTCAGGGTATAACAACAACAAACTCGGGTTTATTTCAGCAGAAAAATGTTAAATCTGTTGAGTTGCTTCCACGAGTTCTATAATAAAATTTGTTATAATAGAAAATAATATACCATATATGTTAATATAAATGTAGATTTTATATTTTTGTTCACAACAACAACAGATTTTAAATTGATTTAGTTTAATAAAAACCCTATATAAATGGTAGTTTAATTAATACTAACTATATTTATACTTGTAGTTGTTTGAATATGTTACCTTTTGTTTTATTATTATTAAGAAAACAAAATTTCCTTTTTTGCTTTTTTTATACAAGAGTAGGCTGATATTGCTATGAAAACTCATCTCTCTGTTAATTTTGGTAGAATGTTCTATGGGTTGCACACATACCCTAATACGTAGTAAAAACAACGGTCATAAGTTTCTATTTCCACTTTATTTTATGAAAGTTTTTGTTAAATAGGAAAGCTAGCCATCACCAGTCATAAAACTACATATATGAATACAATGAAAGAAGAGGACAAGTTATACAAAATACTGTAGTGAAAGATTAATTTTGAATCAATCGTTTTTGATTAGAAACTAAAAATCTTAAACAATTTTCAGCGTTTGCAGTTGCAATCATATGTTTTCGTGATGAGTATGGACATTCTTTTGCACGAAACTGTCATTTTTCGCTTATAATTTTTACTTGCCGCATAACTTTCCGACGTTATCAAGTGCAAATTTGTAAAATAAAAATTTTGCGAAATTTTCAGATATTGAACAAATGTATTATGTGAATGCATTTTGTTTTATAGTTGCTCAAATCTTCAAACTCAAACTTGAGAATGGATATGATGCACCGCCACACAATTAAAATTAATGCAGAACAAACTGAGTAAAATTTCTAATTATTTGTTTTTAGTTTATTTTCATTTCTTTTCTACTTTCAACATTTTCTTTTGCTCATGCAGTTTGGCGGCTGTCAACGGCTAAAGTAGCAACAAACGGTCACATTTCCAGCAAGCAAATCCATCAATGCTGCCTGTCAGTGACTGACCTTTCGCTACTCTTTCGCCTGTGCCACAAAACAAAAAAAAAGTTGTTTTGATTGTTGTTGTTGTTGGTCAAACATTTCAACTCGCCTGCCTACTTTTTGTGTTGTTGGAATTTGATAAATGTTTGTTGTTGTATAGCATAAAGCTGTGATTTGCATAGCAAACATATGTACATAAGTATAAACATCTTGCATTTTTCTCCAAGCATTGGTATTGCTCCGCCTTATTAGCCGCACAATCTCTTTTTCCTTCACACTCACACACATACATAGTCGTATACCTACATTTTGCATCGTTCAATTTTGCTTGGGAAAGCAATGGCATTTACATTGTAAATGCAATCAATGTATGTTGCTATTGTTATGCTTGTTGTTGTTAAAAAGTAGCCTTATCGCATTTTACGGTCATTACTTTCAACACAACTGCATTTTACGGTTCACAGTTCTTCGCAGTTATGCTCGTTGCATATATTTACCCTCAGATGGTTGATTTAAAGCGCAATAAACTATCCTTCACTTAAATTGTGGTTGTTGTAAATCTAGCATTTAAGTGGGAAAGCGTGTCAATTACAGGCACTAAGCAATCGGCAGCCCTCAGTTGGTGCAACATCGTGCGCCAGCGTTAAAAGTACTGACTACCGTAGCATGTACATATATGTAGATTTATACATATGTATGCATGTACATATACATGCCTGTGTGTGTCTGTGTTGTATGTGCATATCTGTTTTTCTTTTGTGGTTGCTGAGTAATGCAACAACTGCTCAATTCCGAAATGGCTGTCTGACTTGATAAGCTCATCCATAGGCATTCGTCGGCTTTAATCTCCGCTTTCATTAATGATTTGTTTATCTCTTGACCAATTAGCCTCTCAATAGCCTTATCAGTGACATATGGATATTTGTGCGTACTATACATACACATATTTGGGCATAATGCTACTTCCTGTAAAAAGAGTTTTAATCGCATTCTGCAAGCATTTGAGATGCGAGGAAAAACTTTTTATAACTGTTGATTGGTATGAGTAGAGCGCATCAGTCTTATTTTAGAGATGCTAACTTTATCGATTCATCATAAAGCTAGCTAGAGTTACTAGTGGAAAAATTACTTTTTGTGTGCAAAGAAATGATGTTTCCCAGTTTATTGATTTGTCGAATTTATGTCAACACTTCTCAAAAATATCTTCGAAAAATGTTTTGGAAAATATGTTGAGCCTAATGCCCATAAATTTAGTTATATAAAAAAATATAGTTGGCTTCTGTAAAAAAGAAAAGAAATCAACTTAAGCTGTTTTAAACAGTTCAAAGCAAGCATGAAGCTACAAGCTTACGAAGCGCTACGAAGTAAACGAATCGAACTGTCAAACTTTCGTACTAATTTTATGATGTCACGAACTAATTTGATTTTATGTCAAATTCACTCTAAAAAAGTAACGGGATGAAATTGCCGTAATCAACACTATTTCTGATACGAGATAAATTAGTGAAATCGGATCAGTTTTCACTAAGGAGGCGTTCGCTATATAATATGCTATATATTATTTCTCTTAGAGTATTGCTCCCACATTGTTGGATCTCATGGATGACAATAAAAAATATTTGCTTGCTTTAAGATTTTTTTTGAAACTTCGAAAATCTGAAACCTCTCAAAGAATCCCTTGTATGGCTAACCTTCTCTTAAAAAAAATCCCTAGAATATCAAGTTTATACTCAAGTTTTGAACTCACTTCAACTCATTAGTACGACTGCTGTTTCTTACATTCTTCAAAGCCTTTTAAACAATCTAATGGAAATATTTCACTCACCCACCGCTCTCTCTTTTCAGGTATTATATATTTACGATCTCATCTAAACAAATATCTATCGGTCGACACGTTCGGCAATGTACTCTGCGAGAGCGATGAACGCGATGCTGGCAGCCGCTTCCAGATAAGCATCAGCGAGGATGGCACCGGACGATGGGCGTTGAAGAATGAATCGCGTGGCTACTTCCTTGGCGGCACACCCGACAAACTCGTTTGCACCGCCAAAACGCCCAGCTCCAGCGAGTTCTGGACCGTGCATCTGGCCGCCAGGCCACAAGTGAATTTGCGCTCAATCGGTCGCAAACGGTTCGCGCATCTGTCCGAATCACAAGACGAGATACACGTCGATGCGAATATTCCATGGGGCGAGGATACGCTCTTCACATTGGAGTTCCGCGCTGAGGAGGGCGGACGTTATGCTTTGCATACATGCAACAACAAGTAAGCGCTGCGCTCTGCTACAATTACAACAAATACAATGACTCTACTACTTTTCTTGTTAGGTATTTAAATGCTAACGGCAAACTGCAGACTGTTTGCAATGAGGATTGTCTCTTCAGCGCTGAATATCATGGCGGACATTTGGCGTTGCGTGACAAGTGAGTTTGATTGATGCAATGCAAGTGATCGATGACAATTAATTAACTTGAATTTATTTCCGCTCCTCTTTTGTCTCAGGCAAAGCCAGTATCTATCGCCAATTGGCTCGAAAGCTGTGCTGAAATCACGTTCCTCCACGGTGACACGTGATGAGCTCTTCTCATTAGAGGACTCCTTGCCACAAGCCTCATTCATAGCCGAGTTGAATTCGCGTTATGTGTCGGTGAAGCAGGGCGTCGATGTGACCGCCAATCAGGATGAGGTGGGTGAGAACGAAACATTCCAGCTGGAGTTTGACTGGTCCGCCCATCGCTGGGCGTTGCGCACCACACAGGACCGCTACTGGTGTCTGTCCGCTGGCGGCGGCATACAAGCCACCGGCAATCGTCGCTGTGCCGATGCGCTCTTCGAACTGGTCTGGCATGGTGACGGCTCGTTGTCTTTCCGCGCGAATAATGGCAAGTTTTTGGCCACCAAACGTTCGGGACATTTATTCGCCACATCCGAGAGCATTGAGGAGATCACGAAATTCTACTTCTATTTGATAAATAGGTAACAACAGTTAGTGATAAAATTTCTGTATCATATTTTGTTAAAAAATAATGTTCTCTGCAGACCCATACTTGTACTTAAATGTGAGCAGGGCTTTGTCGGCTACCGCACGCCCGGCAATCTCAAGTTGGAATGCAACAAGGCCACCTACGAGACGATTTTGGTGGAGCGCGCCCAGAAGGGACTGGTGCACTTGAAGGCACACAGCGGCAAATACTGGCGCATAGACGGTGAAGGCATCTCGGTGGATGCGGATGCGCCCGCCGATGGCTTCTACTTGGAGCTGCGCGAGCCGACCAGAATCTGCATAAGGTACACACACTTTCATATAAAATAAACTCTTGCTTATATGCTTCACATTCACTGCTTGCAGATCGCAAACTGGCAAATATTTGGGCGCCACGAAAAATGGCGCATTCAAGCTGCTCGACGATGGCACCGACTCAGCCACACAGTGGGAATTCTAAGCGACTTCAAGGCGCTTAAATGAGCAGGGCGATTGCTTAATTGATAATACACTTTGTATGCAATTCAGAAGCATGCATGCACTCGAAAATGGGAGAACGAAAAGTGAAGCAAACAATGAAAAATAGTTTGTCAATAAGGATCGTGGAAAAACTAGCGTTCACACACACACACACATAAACATACATATGCATACATTTAAGTAAAAGTGAGTCAAAAAATTTAAAAAAAAATCAACTAAAAAAGAAACGAGAAAACAAACGCAAACAAGTTAAATAATAATGAATTAAAATATTTAAATAAATCGCATGCAATTTTTACTGAAATATCATGAGATTGTGGCGAAACGAAGCAAACAATACAATTCAATTGGAAATTTTACAAGGCAAATAAATACATCAATAATTAATGTAGTAATTAAAGTAATTTGTATGAAAACAAAATGGTAATAATGCCCTTTTAATGAAAACGCTTTTACATACATACTTACAAACATATATACATACATAGAGCATGCATACATATTCACAGCATAATATTTTTATACCATAACAGAAGTGGAAAATATTGCATATAAAACTAAAATCTATAAAAGTTAATATAAAATTAAAACTAAAACAAAAATAAAAACAACAAAACAAATTGTCAACAAAAACAGGAAACGCACAATTTTTTACATACTTTTATACAGCAACAAAAATTCTAGCTTTTGTACCGTGCAAACAAAAAAACAACAACAAAATAGTTATATATAAAATTTACACTGTCACGTGTAGGCAAGTAAGCGGCAAATTGACAAGAATTTTTAGTTTTGAAGAGGATTTGAGTATATATATATGTATATGCGCGCCCTAAATTTTGATTCGGTAAAATTTTTCGAAATCAAAGTGACTTCGAAATCGACTGATTTTGATACTCTGAAACTAATTTTCGAATCTAAAAAAAAAAATTTAATATTTTTATCTCGCAAATCGAATTGTAGTCCATAAAGTAATAGGTAGGAAGTGGTGAGCTTAACAGAAGGCGGTTCCGAAAAAATTATCAAATCGAAATGTATAATATACCAATATATCCGTGGCAAACAGTAAAAGTAGCTTAAAGCGACTTAAAATTTCGGCGTTTCGGCGTGTCGATTATGTGAGCATGCGCTAAAAAATGCACAGTGTCTCATTGGAAAACAAAATCAAACAACCAACATAAACTGATTTAACTAACATACATATGTATAACCACAGATATATACTTTAATACTCAATTATTTAACCTTTTTTATTTAAGTCACTTGTCGAAAACTTTGCGCTGCACTTGTCTAGCGCTGCAGTGTGCCGAGTAATAAAAATGCCAATTTTGTGAGTCCTTCCGTTGCAAATCCTTTTTAAAAAGTTTAAAAAAAATATATTAAAAATTTACCTATATAAATAATAAGTAAAAAAAAAAATTATATAAAATCACTAAAATTGAGAGTTTGGCATTGGAATTTGTAAAATTATTTAAGTATTTTATATAAAAGAAATCTATAAGTCGCAATTTTATTAACAATGCGTGAATATTTTAAATGCTTTTTTAGCAATTTTAATCAGAAACTCCTCCAATATATGTATGCGTATATATTCCTATTAAAAAGCATTACAATCTACATTTTATATATCGATTATATATAAGTAAGTTATATGCGAAATTCATGCAAGCATAAGTGAGGTTATGCATACGTGTACGTATGTGTGAAAGCGCAGCACAGCAGGCTGGCAATAAAAGTGAATAAATAGAAATAAAAATTAAATAAAAATAAAATAAAATGCGCGTAAAAAAAGAACGTAATGCTGGCAACAAAATTGTATTATAATTTAAAAAATATATAAACGCTAACACCGCAAATACGTTCCATATGATTTGAGAGGAGAATTTGCAATATATTATTTGTTACTTGTGTCTGTTTCGTTTATACACGATTTTCTTTTTAGAATTGTCAAAACATTTTTTTTAATATTAAATTACCGCTCAGCGCAGTTATGCCAAGTTATACACATATATATGTACCATATTTTGAAAATCTTCAAAAACATTTCATTTCATGCGCACTCTTATATTATTATTATTGCTTTTTATTTATACAAATTCCAACGAATTTATAAATATTACTTTATAATATTTGTGTAATTATATACCAGCATAAATAAATACCCACATCTACATATGTGCTCGTGTATTTGTAGCCTTTTGATTTTAATACACAGCATCATTTCCTAATAGTTTGTAATTTCACTGCGTTGTTCATGTCACTCAATTAGGTTTTAATCTACACATACATACATACATATATATAAATTTATATAATAATAAATATCTCTACTATGATTTCTATTTAAATGTCTTTACGAACACATTTTGCGTTCAATTTGTTCCAAGCACCACTTGTATTTGCACAAAATGCTGTGGCAAAGTGCATGCAATTAAAATCTATCAAAATAAATATGTATTTATAATTAGAAATCAGAAACAAAAGTGGTTATTTACATAACAAGTAAATAAGAATTAATGAAAGAGCATTATGTGAAACTAAACGCGATATCAATATCAATAAAGGACACTTATTATATCATGTATTCATACTCTAAAAATTGCATTTATTTATTCGATAATTTATATAATTGACTTAAGGGGGTGTTTGCAGTTATATACATGCATATGTATATACCTTTTGGAATATTTAATTTGTAGAAAGTAATGGTTGTTCTTATAAAATTGTAAGCTATACCTAAAACATGCTTTTGTCATGTGTAAATTTAAGTGGCAGATCTGGTGTGAAATTCAAAAATAAAATTAATATATATCATATTTCGATCGGTTACACCTTTAAAACCAATATACTAAAATTTTTAAAAAATATTTCAAATTTTTTAGAGTTATAGGCGTCTAAATGTGATAAAGTTATCTATAACCAAATTTTTCCGATTTGCTTGGGTGATTACTCGGAGACAAATGATCCGAACGCTATTTTTCGACAAGTTCTATATATAGCTTTCCATTTTGGCAAACCAAATCCGACCAATATTTGGGAGAAATTTAACATTTTTAAAAACGCCATTTTGTTAATTTTTGTTTACAACATGCATAGATTATGTATCTTCTAATAAGATTTTTTTATATTCCATATTTATAAATATAACCCATCCATATGATATAAGCCAAGCTCACTCACCTAACACTAATTTACGTAAAGTTCGACCTCGTCGAAACAGCCCGTTTCCAGGACGTACCGTTAAGTGACTTGGAAGAGTTTTTTTGCGCTTTCTCCCAACACAGGGTGTAGGTATTCGCTACTACAATAATAACAAAGCAACTATATAAAGTCTCTATAGATGGGAGCTTAATTCTGCTACAATATCCAGTCAGTAATTTTTAAAGAGCTTTTCTCATCTTTTGGGGTTCCTATTATGGCATGTGTTGTGGAAAATTTTAAATGGTTTATTCTTCAAATTGGACTACTTTGATCCATTTTTGAACCCAGAGATCAATAAAAGTTTACAAAAAGTATAGTAAAATATTATATTTCATAACAAATAAATGCATAAGTCAAATGAAAAAAGTGGATTGGATAAAATTTATTTTATTTTTTGGGAACCTCAATAACTGTGTTCTCACCACAGCCGCGCTTAATGACGTGGGGTATTTTCTTGGGCACCATTCTGAAAGTTAAAATAAGAAAATATTTATATTAACAACTTCTAAGCTATCCAAACTATAATTACGTGATGCAGTCGATGATAGGGCATACAGAGACGCAAAGAGTGCAACCAGTGCAATCATCGCCGATTAGTGGAATATGTGTCTTGGCATCGAATTCTATAGCCTGGTAGCCAGAGTCATTGCATGTGAGATAGCATTTACCACAATTTACGCATAGGTCCTGGAAATGAAGCAAAATAATAGATAACATTTGAAGGAATGTGAGAGCTCGGTTTCATAATCATTACAGGGTTAATAAGCGCCACTTTCTGCTGTTTGGTGTCCAGCTCTTTAAAAGTGCCAATGCGACTGAGCGCTTTGCCGATCACATCGTTTACATACAACGCGGGTTTCGGTTTACCACCGCTAGACTTCTTTTTGTCAGCTGTCATACCTTTATCCTTTGAGAGCGGACCCTTCTCTTTGCGTTCTTTAAAAAGTTTTTCTTCTCGCTGTTGCTTATATGGACCGAAGAAGCCTAACGTCTGTATAAATATAATAAATTCATTGAGGTTAAAAATAAATGTGCTACCTGACCTTATCTTTGTTGCCTTCGGCTGAAAGACGCACGACGGGTTTACCCTTCTGATGTATGGGAGTCGGCGCTGATTGACCGTCCCATAACTCTGGATTTTTAGGCGGCGGATTTGCTTTTAGATATAACAAAGTTTGTAAACTACTCTTAAAATCCTGTACTACAGTGTAATCCTGATTCTGCACGGCCGAACATACTTGGAGTGCTGAGGCGCCAGCATGAAGAAACTGTAATGCTGCATCACCAGAATCCACACCGCCACAACCAAGTATAGCTAGACCTGGTACTTTATTACCGATTGCCGAGATCGCTCTCAACGCTATCGGACGTGTTGCATTACCCGACATACCGCCATATGTGGTCCGTTTCTCATTGCCCACAGCCGGCCATGCAGTGCCGTCGGCTTTTAGAAGCATCAACGTCTGTACAGTATTAATAACGGTTACGCCAGCAGCTCCACCACGCTTTACAGCAGCTGCGATATCTACTATTTCGGTGATGTTTGGCGTTAATTTGACAAACACTGGTACACTAACTGATTCACTGACCCATTTCGAAACTTTTTGAACCAGTTCTGGTACTTGACCAATAGCCAAACCCATTCCAGACTCACCCATGCCATGTGGACAAGATAGATTTAGCTCAATAGCGTCGGCACCGCACTTCTCTGCCTTTGACGCCATATCCTTCCAGTCTTCTTCGTTAGCAGGGCACATTATACTGGCGATTACAACTTGATCGGGAAAATCTTTTTTAAGCTCAGCTATAGTCTTGTACCAATAATCGGCACGTTTCTCCGATATCAATTCGATATTAAGGAAAGCGCCCTGATTCGGTCCATAGTTGTAACCTGATGTCGTACCACGTACTATACGTGGTGAGACATTGGTCACCATATCTTTGTCAAGACAAAATGTTTTCACAACAACAAACCCCCAACCTTGTTCGAAAGCGCGACGACACATAGCAGCCGTTGTTGTAGGCGGCGCGGAAGACAAGCCGAAAGGATTCGGAAACCTGAGTGCGCGCATCTCTTTCTTACAAGTTTTACGATCTAAATACTCGTAACAAACATCAACCGACAAGTCTACTTTATCGATTTCAGTATAGAAAAGCGGTAAATCGGCTGGGGTGTTAAGTGGTAGACCCTCTAGTTGGCAATGAATACTCCAAGCAGCGACTTTACCATCGTTCACTGACTCTACAGTAGTCTTGGCAATACCGCCTAAGTCACCACCACAAAACACTTGTGGTACGCTGGTTTGTAGAGTTTTCGGCTCAACTTTTGGTAGATTCTTTTTGTCGAGTTTCACTGGTTTCATGGCATCAATTACTTCTTTCTCATTGAGCCCGGAGCCAAACGCGGATATAACAAAATCGGCCGGCAAATATGTTTTCTGATCCTTGTCCTCTCTAATAGTTCCATCTAAGTCCATATCGGTGCGTATGAATTCAACAGAAACAATCTGCGAAATAATTTGCTCAAAACAAAAGCTTTCAACGATATTGAGTGGCAGTATTACACACCTTATTTTCCTCCAAAATCACCTTGCTGGCCTTCGAGTACGGCACCAACTCACACCACTCTTCGCATGCCAACTGAACCTCTTCGGGTAAAGCTGGTATAAGCGCAGTGCTATGTAAAAACACGACAAGCACACGATCCGCGCCACAACGCCATGCGGCAGACGCACAATCGAAGGCAGTGTCTCCAGCGCCCAACACAATCACGTTACCTGACAATTTGGGGAGTTTGCTATCCTTGCTAATACCATGTTTGGAGCCGCCTGCAACGCAGGGTAGAAAAGTTTTCGATGTATAAAATCCCATGGATTCATCTAAGCCACAAAAAACTGGATCAATGTTTGGTTCGGGCAAACCTATGCCCAAGAAAACTGCATGATTGCCTCCTTTAAGTAAACCCTAACACATCATATATGCAAAATTAGTATAAAACAGCGTTAGCTACCACTGCTTACTTACATCAACCGTTAAGTCCTTGGTGGACAAACAACGATTCAACTCAAACTTCACACCTAAGTCCTTAACCAGTTTAATTTCGAAATTGACAGCGTCAACGGGTAAACGAAATTGTGGTATCTCCGCCGCGCTTAATCCACCAAGAAAGGAATTTTTCTCATAGATCGTTACATCTTTATAACCTAAACGTCCCAAGTAAGTAGCGCACGATAGCGAAGCCGGCCCACCGCCTATTAAAGCAATCTTCTTGTTGGAATCTTTTAACTTTTTCGCATTGGGCGGCACTATTTGAGGCACACCCATCTCCTTGAAGCGTTCCGTGGCGAAATGCTGTAAGCCGCTAATATTGATGGGACCCTCTTCGGTAGCTTGCAAATTGCAGCCACCAACACAGAGATCGCTGGTGGAGCACACCATGCCGCAAGTAAGGCCCAGAGGATTGTCGGAGAATATTATCTTGGCAGCGCCATAATAATTCTTATTGGCAATGCTCGTGATGAAACATTTTATATCGATCTGAGTCGGGCACGACTTCTGACATGGCGCGTCGGCGCATTTGAGACAACGCGCCGCCTCTTTGAGCGCACCACGTTCCGAGAGTGTTGTGTGCTTGATGTCTTCAAAGTTGTTGAGTAGCATCGATTGGCCCTATAGCGCAAACGTAAAACGAAAACAAATTGTATGTGTTGGTAATAAGCTGAAGAGAACTTTATACGCCATTTACCGTTGGGTTGCGCTCACTGTTGCGTTTCCAGTGTTTTTTCGCAGTCTTGGTCTCGACTGTTGGAACCACACAGCATTTGCACTTACAACTGGCATGCTGAGCAAGTTTTTTCTAAAACAAAAGATCACGTTTAGTCTTAGCTAGTTTGTTATATGAAATCATTTTACTGTAGTTTCGGGCGGATCCTTCGAGAGTATTCCCTCCGGGCATTTCGTTTTGGATTTGGACCTAGAAAAACAAAAATATCAACATCTTGTGTCCATCTTCCATCGAATACTACATTTACGTTAGACAAATATGTGTGTGAAAATTCGCAATTGGGAAACCAGCAGGATAGAGCACGCGCAAGGGTGTCGTACAAAGTCGCCGTGGAACTCGTTGCGAGATCAGTAATGACGCGCGTAAATGTGCTGAATTTGTAAACATTTAAAAAAATATACGAGCGTTTTGTTGATAAAATATAGAAAATGCTTTTTGTAAAAGTGAAAAATATAAAAAGTTTTTCGGAATATATTTTCAAAATTCTCTGTCTTGTACAGCTTTCATACCCACTCGACATTATTTACAAGCATGTGAATTTTGTGTAAGTATATTTTCGATATAGTTTTGAATTCGATTTTTAATATAATTTTGAGGGAACTGTAACTTATGGA